GCCATAGACCTCCATTATTTGAATGTCAGCAGACAGCAAGAAGCCTCCCAGATCTCCAGATGCATTTGAGATATCAAAAAAGTACTCCAGGGTGTTGTTCAGCATGGGGGTGAGTAGAAAATGAAGGCTAATCATGTTTTGGGTGTACTATTCCTTTAAGGCAATAAAGTAAAAAAAAAAGAATAAACCTAACACACTTGTAAAGCCTTGCTATCCTGTTTTCCAGGTTTTTTCAACACTACTGTTGGTTGCAGCTATATGCTGTAATTTGCTGAAGTTATGGGGTAAAAACGGTCACTTGCATTAAGATAAACTGCCACATTGGTGAAACAGTCCAAGATAGCTGTTGTCAATAATGTTCAGTTCTGCAAAAGCAGGACGGCGATCGACCAGGAGCAGAGGAGAAAACTGCTTTTCTACATCTGTGATACTGAAGCGAAATCTCTTTATGACTGTGTGCTCAGTGTGCTATTTTTAAAATGACCTTTCAGCAAGAATTTCATTGTTTTATGAGATTCATTTCCACTCCTTCCTGTCATGTTTTCATGTTAGACCACATGGAGAGATTTTGATCAGATACCAGAGTTTCTGACCAAAGCACAACGTGCTATCAAAGCTCTCCTTGGAGATTAGCAAACGTAACATTTGATAAAGTTTTCAAAATACATCTGGTCATTCAGAAAGAGGCTAATGGTTGTTATGGAGACAGAGTACAACCAAGGTGTCAGTCTTTGCTGCAGTGAGGTTTGGAGACCTTTCTACCTTTCTCACCTGACCACCATCGTCCTCGATGTCCTTTGTGAAGATGAACTTGGCTTTGTTTCATCCATTTGTTATAAGCCTTTAAAATCTTGTTCTGTTTGTTAATCTGGAATAACTTAAACCAACAGTTTTTTTTTCTTGACTTTTGAAGATCAACACATGATTGCATTACTTGAATCATACATTCTGATAGAAAGATAGGGCTCAGTGGACAGTCAATACATGCAAGGGAAACAGGAAGTCATTGATTACTGGTTGAAACTTCTTAGGTGAAACAAATTTTATTTTTAAAAAGTGCTTTATTTGTATTTACTTCATCGGGAGTGCCAGCTGGACAATAAAAAACAACAGTTACTTTAACAATGATATGTAAACACAATGTATTTACTTTTTATACAAAGCACAACATGCATATTAATAATGCATATTAGCATTAGCACCAGAGTAAATCAGAGGATATTGAGTCGTCACTTTGTGCCGTCTCCAGGTAGAAGTTGGGTCTCTGTCAACACGGTTTCAACAGCTGCTATGAGAGGTGAGCTGTAGCTCAGCAGTCGGCCATCATAAATTAACTGGTCGTCTCTAAGCTTGGGTTGCATTTCAGCCCTGTAGAGCAAATATACAACCGTTACTCCTTAGTGAAATGTTTTAATCTGTAGATAAAACCTTACATTTACATTAATGGACAAAACGACTAAAACATCTTTCCTTCAGTTGACAGTAAACCTTTTTGTAACATCAGACTTTACTTAAGAAAATGTATTTTTAATGTAAACACAATTTTGTAAAAACACTGCAAGCTGTTTTCTTTTAACATATTTTAAATATTGTCCCTTGAATATCGCCATAGTGTTTTAATGCATTCTGGGTAATAGACGAATGCTCCTGTAGTGCTAACTCTGTCCAACCAGAACTGCAATAAGTAACCAATAAGCAATATAATAATAATAATAAGTAGGCAATAATAAGCAATATGTTTCAGTTTAAAGCGTAGCAGAATAAAATAGATGTCAATAAAAAAAATCACAAGAGCATAGCTGTCAAGTCTGCGGAAGAGGATTAGGGCCACTGGAAAAAAAAAAAANCCCTGCTAACATGGAACAGTTCTGTTACAGTAACTAAATGTGATTAAGTAAATGTCAGAAGTGGTTGCATTATTTTTTCAGAACAAATGCAGAGCCCTCCCTCTGAATGAGGAGTTAGATTCTAGCCTCAACTTGAAACCTGTAGCTTTGCTGCTTTAAGCAATATAGGGTGATAAAAGGAAAAGCAGAGAAGAGTTCTTTCCAAACAACAATTTATTTAAGATATAACAAACCAAACCAAAATTAATGTTTTTATCTGCCTGTACAGTGTCCTTGGGTGTTGTGATAAGGCGCTTTCAAATAAAATGTATTATTATTATTATTATTTTCCTGGGAGCAAGTTATTTACTACTCTTAATTCAAACTGGGTAAAACCATATAAAAAAGGACTATAAAAACAGGAGTAAAAAAGTAACAGAGTTTATTCCAGATCAGGTTGTTACAGGACAGAGAAATTGCTTGGAGTCTGCACAGCTGTGGGCTCAAAAAACATCAGCAAGCGTCCGGCAAAGATTGAGCCCCGAACAAGGTCATCTTCTCTTTCTTATACCTCATGAGTCCATGTTTTGCATCAGGTGAGGTCAGCTGTCCGTATCAGAAACTGACACGCCATCCATGCCCTGACCTGTATGCATCTTGCCTCAATGCCCAAGAATTACAGATAGCTCTCCTTTATCAGACTGGCTCCAAGATGTGCCCATATCCTGTGTATTCCTAAAGACACGAAGGCTGTCCTGATTAGATGACCTCCGTACACACAGTGACATCCACAATGTGAAGGAAGGCCTTCTACTCTGTCTAACCTGGCTAACAGAATAACAATGCACATGCTGTATAAAGAATAAATCTAATGCTGGAGGAACTGTGGCATGGTCGGTGACCATACACATATATTCTGGGACTGCCCCAAACTGCAAACATTTTGGAAAAATGTCAAAAAAGAACTGGAAAAGATTTTGGCAGTGGATCTTCCTATGGACCCTTTGTTATTTTTATTGGATGTGTTTCCCGACCACCTGTTTACCGCAGAACAATGCTACAAACTACATATTCTATTGATGATAGCGAGAAAAGATATTACTATTAACTGGATGAAGTCTGACCCTCCCACGATCCCTCAGTGGCTACAGAAGGAAAAACAGGTCTACACAATGGAACATATGACTGCCCAACTACAGATGAAAGTGCCTCTTTTCCTGAGAAGATGGACCCCAGTTATTGATTATCTTGCTTAGGACTCTAATACACTTGTACTCTATCCATGCATCACTATTATTGTTGTTGTTATTATCAAGGCTTGATAAGATATGTCAGTGCCTCAACACTGAAGTCCTCAGACATTTTTCTTTCGTTGTTTCTTTCTTTGCACAGGTAAACAGCACATTTCTTCTTCTACGCT